AGGTAATTTGGTGTTTGAGAGAGGGAAACAGATCCATTTATGTACAAGAGAATAATGCCCAAATGGTTTAAAAGACAAAAAAACCAAAAAATTGGCCAAGATTATAATTATCTAATATCCAAAAACAGAAGCAGGTCAAACAATCCAAAAAAGCAGTAAAGCATGTGGAGCAGAACGGCATCTTTTCTTTGGGTGCACAAAAAGATGCACAAAACCACATATGCATAAGAGCTACAGCTGGACTTGAATAGATGTTTTTGTTTGCGCTGATAGTGTCCCTGTTTTGTTAGAAGCAACCCGTACAACATGTTGTGCTAAACTGTGGTGGTATATAAATCATAGTATTGCCAGCATAGCATTCAATACTTTGGTTCCCAATGTTGGGCTTGTGAAAAAATGAATATTTTGAAATATAGGGTAATTTCTTACACTGTAAAGCAACAAATAAATTGTATAGGAAAGAAAGAGTTATAATTACACAAAGCATAATTATATTCATTCACTATTTCATGTTAGACCAATATTTATTCATTATAGGTCCTGCAACTGTGTTAGAAAAACATCTACTTCCTCAGTCGACTGGAGAGTCACTTCAGATTTTGGATTAAGGTCAGCGCAGTTCTCTCTCTTAATTGTTATTACTCATCCTCATTGCTGGGGTATTGCTCCTGAATAGTTTATATACAATGCAGCACAAGTCTTTGTAAACACACGTCTACAAAGAGTTATAGATTCCTGCAAAAGAAGAACACATCTTTTGGGAGTAAATGACAAAAAGGAGGACATCATAATTAATGATGAATCCATTATTGAGCAGGTTTCATTTGAAAAGATGAGAGAGTCGAGATGAAAGTGAATGGCTGACAGAAAGGTAAGAGGAGCCCCGGGAGGATAGAACTGCTCCAGTGTTTTTTTACTTGTACCGATCAGAGCTTGGATAACGTGCTGCACTTAAAACCCAAAATGTCCCCTAAACTACAAGGTTTCTGAATGCTTATCACGTTTCTCAATAAATGTAATGTTAGTTATTGGCAAGCTCTCTCCAGACTTTCTCCTCATCAGCTAACAGAAGGTACAGCCTGTGGAGATGTGAAGAACTTCCTGTTAGTAATGATTTCATCACACCAGCTGCCATGATAGAAATACTCTGCTTGTGTTGGAAAAAGGTTATACATTCATTCATTGACAACTCAGAACTTGGGTCACAGAAATTTGACAAATTTGATGATGACAAAGAGGAAATGCAGCATAAGAAATGTATGCAGCAGGTTTCCTCATTCTTATCAACTACTACAAACCAAAACAAAATCCAAAGTAAATCTCAAAACACTTGAGACTGAGCGAGGGTGGGGAGATGTGTTTCCATGGCAACTATGCAGTAATCCTTCTCTCTGTGTCTGTGTTGCGTGTGTGGAGTCTGTTTGTATCAGGAAGGAAACCAGTATTGCATATACAATATGACTGACAGTTAAATAATTGTTTGGAAGAGATCTGAATGTGATGACTCCCCAATGTCTACTTGACTGACAGGTCAAGTTTAAATGACTACTAGTATACTGCATCTATTAATAATGAAAGAGTGTCTCTTCTCAAACTTAAAGCCTCTCTCTCAGATGTGTCAATTACACAACTGCATTCATTTAGACTTGGATTGACAAAGTGTTTTTGATAGGACGGATATATTTCACAATACTAAGGTTATAGTAAATGTATATATAGTATGTCTAACCTATTCACACATTTCTGTAAGTGCAGCATATTTACAATGTTAGCGGTTGGATATTTGCAGTTCTCCTCAGAGGCTTGTTTAGCTCATTGTTCTGGGTTTGGTTAGATAACCCGTAACTTTAATGAATTTAGATCACCTTCCCCACTCTATCAGCCATAGCGCCTAACTGCACCCAGTTAGCAGCAGTTATTGAACAGATGAAACACAGACCTTTTTCTGTGGTGGTGGTGGAGCTCGATCTAAATGGAGAATGAAAATTGGACTTACATTCATGAGTTAGACAGACAATTCCAGATAAATAACAGTATTCTGTTGAGCACAGGTTGATAGCTTTTACTCTAACAAGTCAATGAATCTGTTCATGTGATGGTTTTTGTACCGTGCTCTAGATTTGAGAGCCTGGCCAAATGCGCTAATGTAAACACTGATTGTAACTCGTGTTCATGGTGTCTCTCCATGTGTGTGTGGGTGAGTGTGTCTGTGAGTGTGTTATTTGTTTACAGCAGCAGCTACGTTCATAACAGCCTTAAGTGTAGAAGGCCGATAATATAAAATATCCTTGGGGTCTTTTTTAACTGTTATCTAATAAATACTATTTTGCTTTGTTCTAACACTGAACACTGAATGTAAAACACTGACACGAAATATTTAAGTGCAACATTATTTCATCACTCGCACATTTTTACCTTTTCTCCTGTAGGCTGTAAGAAACATTGGAGTTGACAGCAGAGTGGTTTATCTCTCTATCTCCTCCTCAGGGATCTTCCTACTTTTTTTCATTTTTCCATATTCTCGTTTTTTTCTAAATGTGCTAAAGCATTCACAGCCAAAGGTCCTTTCTGAAACCAAGATAACCTTCTGTTTTGTTTTTAACCTTCTGTCTTCTTGCTTATCCATCTCTTCTTCTTAATTAACCTCTCCCTTGCTGCCTGTCTGAAGCATTTTGCAAAGTACATCCTTCCAAACTCTATGTAACCTTCATAGCTGAGACATTCATTGCACACCAATTTGTTTGGAGTGGGACCTGATGAGGTTTATCAGACTGTATCAAGCAGATTTATGTCTTCTCTCTCTTAATCACTTTCTTTCTCTTCTTGTGTTTCTGATAAAACAGCGAGCCACTACGCTGGAAGTCCTCCACCTGTGGCCATGATGTGAGATCGATAATGTGAAATCGAAGGCCGTCTTCGAGCTTCAGCCATTGTGCAGCCCCAGATGCTCTACTGCTGAAATCAAAATTAAAACACTCGCATGGGTCCTTGACTACAAATAGGAACATAAACACTTCAGTTGTTTTAGTTGTGTTGTGGCCGCTGTAGAAGGCTGTTAACAATACAATTGCTATCTGTTCACAATTTATGAATAGTGACAATGAACCATCTGGCCCTTTTTGCAGACACACCTTAAAACTGTTGATTGCACAACTTCACATCCATTTGTGGTCCAAATGACTCGTCTCACATCCCCATAAAAAACTCTTTCTCACTTTGTCTGAATCAGCTGCTGTGACCGGCGAGGATTATGAGGCCGACTTTAGTGTTTCTACATTTGCACTGTCTCCTGTTTGTGTTTGTTGGTGTGTGTGTCCCCATTGCTGTGGGCTCGCTACCCACCATTACCATGGCACGTCTCCTGCCCGGTGCGGTGTGTGTGTCAGATCAAGCCGTGGTTCTCCCCTGACTCTGTCTACCATGAAGCTCCCACTGTGGACTGCAACGATCTGCTCTTGACCAAGCTCCCCTTACCCCTACCCCCGAACACACACCCCTGCGCCTGCAGAGTAACCTTCTGTCGGAGCTCGACACCGCGGTGCTGCATGGACTGACCAATCTCACCGACCTCGACCTTTCCCAGAACCGTTTCAGCCATGTCAGGACAATAAGTCAGAACACCTCCCTGTCCTCTCTACTATCTCTACACATGGAGGAAACCATCTCAGTCACCTCCCTGAGGCCTCCTTCTCCTCTCTCTCTGACAGCATTGCAGGAACTGTTCCTCAGCCACAACACTTACACGTGATAGCACCTGGAGCCTTCACTGGTCTCACCTCCCTACTGCGTCTACATCTCAACAAACAACAGGCTCACCACTGTTGACCCTCGCTGGTTCAGGGCTTTGCCCAACTTAGAAGTTCTCATGCTTGGTGGAAACCCTGTGGAGGCACTTCCAGAAAGAGGCTTCCTGGCCCTGAAATCCCTCCGAAGTCTTGTACTTGGTGGTATGGGTCTGAGAGGATTGGCTGAAAACGCACTGGAAGGGTTGGAGGGCCTAGAGAGCCTCTCCTTCTATGACAACCTGCTGACAAAGGTCCCCACTCAGGCCCTAATAAAAGTACCAGGACTGAAGTTCCTTGACCTCAACAACAAAACCGCATTAAACTCGTTGAGACAGGAGACTTCCGAGACATGGCAGATCTGAAAGAGCTCGGCTTGAACAACATGGAGGAGCTGGTGTCCATTGAAAGAGCCGCCCTGGAGAATCTTCCAGAGCTCACCAAACTGGAGATCACCAACACCCACGACTGTCCTTCATTCATCCGCAGGCTTTTCTCCGGCTGAGCAGGCTTGAGAGTCTAATGCTCAACTCCAACTCCCTGAGCGCACTTCACACCAGCACATCATGCTCTCCCTGCCGAGTCTTCAGGAGGTCAGCTTACACTCCAACCCACTGCGATGCGACTGCCTGTTTCATTGGGCCGCTGAGGACGCCTCTCACACTCACATTGAAGACACACAGACAAAGAAACATTCACCTCGGATGGTGCGTTTCATCCAACCGCTGGCCACGCTGTGCTCTGAGCCCCCAGAGCTGAGATCTCGCAGGGTGAGAGAGGTGTCCTCCAGGGAGATGTCGGCCTCGTGCCTCCCCATGATCCCTACCAACTCTCTCCCTTCCTACATTGGGGTAAGAGAAGGAGGAAAACTCGTGTTGCACTGCCGAGCTCTTGCAGATCCACAACCTGAACTGTACTGGGTGATGCCCTCTGGACTGAGACTTGGTCATGCACCGAGCCAGGCCTCCAAGGGTTTACCAATTTCTGCTCCCTGCCACAGCCTGACCGCCTCTGAGGGGTTCAACAACACATCCAGCTTTTCTCCTGGTCAGCCTCAGGATAATACTGCCTGCAATCCCTCTCAACACTACCGGCTGCTGCCTGAGGGAACTCTGGAAATAAACAAGGTCACCCAAAGCGAGGCAGGCTTGTATACCTGTGTAGCTGAGAATGCACTGGGAGCAGACACACACACTGTTACTGTGGGTGTGCATGGAAGGGTAAAGAAAAGAAAGAGGGGGAATGCTGCTAAAATGAAGGGATATCAGTTTAGAGTGGATGCCAGGTTGGAAGTGAGAGATGTCGGACAACACTATGCCATCCTGTCCTGGCAGAGTGGGCGAAACCTTCCTTCAACTCGTCTATACTGGCAAGCCATATCCTCAAACGCACACACGCCTACATACACCACACGCATCCTGGCTGGCACACAGAGCTTCAACTAACCCACCTTCAGGCGGAGACATTTTACAGAGTGTGTCTGCGTTTAGGGATCAGTGAGGGTGCAAAGCGTGCCAGCAGGAGATCAAGAGAGAGCAGAAAGTCTCAGTGTGTTTCTTTCAGGACGAAGGATGTCCCAGAGCCTCAGCGCAGCCTGCAGCTAAGCCCAGAGCTGACCTCCACCGCAGTCACACTACTGCTCCTCGCACTCATACTGCTGCTGCTGGCAGGCCAGGGAGGGGACAATGAGCCTGGCAAGGGGGCAGGAAAGCACAACAGTACCATACTCAAGGAAGTCAACAGTCCTAAAGTTCTGATCATCAATCATACAGACGGAAGCACTGCACATTAGCCGAATCAGAGTGAGGAACTGCTGTTGCATCATGACTGCTGGGATAGTTATGTTTGTGCTTATCAAATACAGACAAAACACTGATATACTCACACACACACACACACACACACACACACACACACACACACACACACACACACCACACACACACACACACACACACACACACCACACACCACACACACACACATAATGTCAAATAGTACCTTGTAAATCGCAGCTTAAAGAGAGGAGTCATGAATTTATAATTTATGTAGAAAGAGATTTGTATTTATTTTATATACCATATAAATATATATTGACATTATTTCTGTGTAAAGTTGTATTGTAAATGCCCAAACCCTAACCAGGGAAATACAAGTGGACAATCAGACTGCTGCAGCACAGTGAGGGATCTAAGGAGGAACAAATGACTCTGAGCTGTCGATGAACTGAAATGAAAGATGACATTATATAAGCCAGTGACGGATATTTGCAGAGGTGAGCAGTCCAAATCTCCAGAGCGTCCGTCTTGTTCCTGTCTACATGTCCACAGACTCAACCATTCTCTCTCCGAGCAGATGAACTGTCTTGAGACATAAACTGAAAGAAATCCCTAATTGATATAAATATCCCTTTTTTCTTATCTTTCACTCCCTTAAACTGGGTTGTCATGTGGATTACATCATACAGTAAACTCATCCTGACTTCCTCCCGAACTCCCCGTATCTTCTTTCAGCATTTAAGTGGTCTAAAAGTGATTGTGTTAAACTCTATTTGAGCTATTATACAATAAAATATTTTTAATTTACACAATTGTACTGTCTATTTAAGTTATTCTTGTCTCAAACATGGTTTGAATATAGCATGACAGATGAGAGACCTTAAACTCTATACATACAATTAAAAGCATATTAGGGATTCACCTGCAGCATCTACTCCTTGCTTATCTGTATGCAGCTGGCATTACTCCACTGTAGGAGTATGATAATATCTCAGGATATCTGACACCTATACAGTAAACACAAGACACAGTGTGTCCCCTGCTGGACAAGATCTGAAACTGAACAATTATAACTAAAGAGATGCAGGAGTAAATCAACTCAAGTAAACATCTCACAGTTAGAGGGTTTTTCTGTATGAAATTCTCATTTTGTGTACTCACAAACAATGCTTCTTTCCCGAGGAATACATGGAATATCGATCTAAAATAAAACATTGATTTCTCTAACTAAGACGTATATAAATTCAGCTGGACTTGATTTACAAAATGGTGTTGTATATTTATTGTGCTGTAGGTTTGATATCCTTTTAACCAACGATAAAAATGATGGCCTAATTAGAGCTTTTGTGAATCAAAGGTGTGAAATGGATGTAATTGTTGGTGAATTTGTTTTTAAGCTTCATAATCCCTATATAATAAAAACAAATTGTCAACAGCAGTTAGACTCTGTATTTATTCACAGAAAACATAATACATTTTCTTTAATAAGGCAACACAATACATCAATGATTTATATGTATACCATATTTAGATTTTATGTTGTTATTTCTTATCTAACAACACGTCATTCTTTACTATCACTAGCAAGTGTAAATAAATAGCTTAGCAAGTCATGTAAAAGAGTACCAGATGCGTAAACTTCAAGTCATACTGTTAGTACATCCAATGCAACAATCCTTCACTTACTTTCGGAATTTATTGATATATTTTAGCAGTAGTTAAATGACTTGCTGAATTATAAATAACCTTTTTTAGGCAGTAAAAAGGAGGCCCTGTGGAGTTTTCTAGTAAACAAACAAAACATATGTATAGCCAAGGTCATACAACAGTTCACAATACTTTTGCAAGGTCGATTTTATAAGTATTTTAACTCCAGTACTGTTTTAATAGCTTGCTCAACACTACGTCCTTTTCTGGCACATTGCTGTATTTCTTGGTGATTTACCAAGCCACCTGTTGAACAGTGAAATATCGTAAAACTATTAGCTGGAAAGTGTACTGCATGTGTTCCCTTGTTTGTGTGAACAAGAAAAAAAAAACCAGGCAGTAACATCAAGAAAAATAGATCCCCAGAACAACTCATGGTCTGAAATCTCCACAGGGTACCTTTCTAACATTCAACATCAGTTAAAAATCAGACAGCAAAAACATTTTCCGAAAAAAAGCTGATTTCAAATATATTCCTTTTCACAAACATCAACAGTAACGGCAATTTTCATTATTCCATAAGCATTATAAGATACATTAACACTGACATCATCATTAGGTGCTGGAGTGGGTGTCATTCCTAAGAATATGAGGTGCTTGTAGTATGAAAACGTGGTTGTGACTTTAAAAATTGTGAAGATCAAAAGCTCTTTCCAGTGTGAGATGCCCTTCCACAGTAATGAGCGTGTTGAATGTACCGTACAGAGCGACGCAAAGGGAAAATGCTGTTAGCTGGATACCCTTTCCCTTCACAGCTGTTAAGATTGTACAATCATTTACAAAAATATAAATCTATTCTGCATTAACAAGTGACAGTAGTGATTAGTACATTTGATAGTTGACAGTGACATGAATAAAATACACAAAACAATGACGCTCTGGTAAAACAACATCAAACAATAGCACTATAATGTATATCACTTTACTGTACAGAGCACAACTACGTTCTGGTCATATGTTACATGAGCTGAACTAGATGTTCCCGATTCTCACGCACATGACACTCAGCTGTTTCTGACCAGCTCCCATTCCTTTATGCAGTATGAATAAAACAATACAATATCAAGCCTTAAACGGCTGATTAATAGAAGTTTAAAGGTCCCCTATTATACTCTTTTTCAACAACACATTATAGGTCTCAGATATGAACAAAACATGCCTCTGAAGTGTTTGGCTGAAATACCAAACAGATCATGAGTTGTAGCATGCCATAAACCCCTCTGTCTCAGCCCTGTTTCAAAAGTGCTGATTCTGTATCTGTAGCTTTAAATGAAAATGAACTAATGCTCCCCACGCCCCTCTGCGAGATATTTGGTTAAAAATAACACATTGGTGCTCTAGGAGGAGATTCAGGTGATAATGGGGGGAGCATTATTATAGCAGCTCATTTTCAGACAGGTTTTTATATAAATGGATCAGGACTAAAAGAGAGCGAATATGTTTTCCTCAAACTTTCCAAATCTCAACACAGAGCGGACACAAATGTATGTATAAAAGACATGAAAAAGTGGATTTCGCATAATAGGTGACCTTTAAGAGGGGCGTCAAACACATTTGAATTTAATTTGTTCTTCAAAAAAACAACTGCTAATATCTGTGTTTAATAATGTATTTGTTAACAACTGTTACTCTTCATATAAGGCATTTACAGTTGTATTAACATTTAATTATGTTTGATAACACAGCAGAACATTTCGTCGTAATCATACATATTCATATTTTCAGTGGTTTTAAACATCTAGAAATAGTTTTAATCTTGCTCTTAATGTAAAAGTTAATATTAAGAGTTCCTAAATTATGTTAAACACACTGTAAGATAAAAAAAATGTAAGCTAATACAGTAAAAAAAAAAATGATTACATATTATTTCAAGTGAACTGCTGTTATCAAACATTGATTAACTGTTTATACGCCATGTATGAATGCTTCTCAGGGGAAGTCATAATAACAACAATGTTTTCAACACACACTTAAAGTATAATTCATGTACTACCTCTATAAATGCTAATGTTACTAAATATATATAATGACTTTGGAGTGATAAGGCAATGCAGTGACTATGAATAAAAAAAGGTAATTCATGTTTTATAATGTGTTGGATGTGGGAGCTTTAGCCCCAGCATCACACTCACGAAATATCTCTCAACATAAACAATTACCACTAAATCTCAATATGTGTACACTCAAATGTACACTCTTTACGCAATAACAGCTTCTCCAATGAGATACATTTACCCACTTCTTCTCACGGTTTACAAACTATAAAGGTTTGTAGTCTAAGGAGAGAAGTGATTAAAGCAGCATGAATGTCAAGAAAATATATAAGCTGACAGCACCACTTTAGTGCATCTGAAAACATGGTAGAGTAATAATTGATAAGTTGCTGGACAGGCCTTAATTCTTCTGCAAAAACGACAAACACTTCATTGTTTACGAAAGATTCCTCTAAGAAAGAGAAAAGAACACCTACATTTACTGGTCCTAGCTTCTCGAATATTAGTATCTGCTGGTTTTTCTTTGACTTTATAATAGAAATTAAAATTGCTTTGGGGTTTGCAAAACATTAGTCAGACTAAACAACTCATTTTAGATCTTTAACCTTGAGAACATTACTCCTGGTGAATCATTTTCAATTATTCATGTTATGTTATAGATAAAACAAAAAAAGAAAATTCATAAATTCATGTCCCAGTATGAGAGACAGCACTGAGATTAGAGCTCATCTGCTTCTGCCTTACACAAGTTGACGGCTTTATGTTTCCTGCTCTCTTTATTACTGAATTTCCGAACCTTTCTAATTGAAACACTGAACTGAACGTCAGATATTAAACATTTATGAGACCTCGAACGGGGTGGTGGATGGTGTACTGATTAGGGAGTTATGTTCGATCCCCCCTGACATCAACGATCCCTCCTACTGAAGCGACCTTGATCACGACACCAGCTGAATATCGCTTGTGGCAAACTCTCGGCCCACTCACTCTACTTTGTGTCACATTTCACTCTAAGTCTGTCAGAAGGGACAGACCGAATCAAGAGAACAAAGAATCCTAACTGGTTAGGTAGCTAATTCATTTATGTTGCCATGGAGACAACACAGAATGAGATAAATACTTGAACAAAGACTAAATAGCAGTTTTGTAGCAGCTTTCATTTATGTCCCCATCAGGCAAAGTATTCCTCGACTTACAGACAAGTTTAGAAGTTTAAATGGCTAGAAATGGGTAAACGTTGCCTGGAAACGGCACAGATAAAGGAGAAACCCTCATTGAATCTGACCGGCGGCTCTGTAGTGGACCATGACTCTAAACTCCCTGTGAAGCTATAAACATCTCCTATTTGTCAAACCATACAGCATCACAAACACAGGTGGAGAAAAGTCTCCAGGGTTCTGAAAGTTAAAAAAAAAGTATTTTCCACGGCAGCTTAACTCATCAAGGAATACTCATCCTTGACAAACACACACATTCACTGCACACACACACCACACGCATCTCAGCTGTAGTTATAGGTGAAGTTATACGAGCTAGGCTCCTTGGGCACGGGGGGCGGGGCTTCTGGGATTGTGATGTTCTCAAGGTCGAGGAGGCGGAGCTTCATCTCCATGCTGATAGAGAGTATCCAGGTCACTTGCGCGTCAGGTCGCTGCCCATCTCCCTGCCCAGCAGCGCACACAGGCCGTCGGTCCAGATGCAGTACTGCTTCCGAACATCAAACCACACACACACACACACATCACACACACACACACACACACACACCACACACACACACACACACACACACACACACACACACACACCACACACACACACACACACACCACACACACACACCACACACACACACACACACACATACACACAGAGGATGAGAACAGTGAGACTCACAGAAACTTCAAGTTAGGGGTTAGTTAGTCGATTAGAAGTCTTGGTTAATGCAGATATCATACACGAGTAAAGTTGAATTTGCATGGTTCTTATTATACTTGTTAGCTCTGGTTTGGGGCCCCCCAACTCTTGATACAGATAATTGTCTTCAGCTGCTAAATGCTCTAAGCTAGCTAAATGCTAACTGTGTCTTTCGGCTTTTGCTGTTGAGGCAGGTGGCAAACTGTTGAAAATAGCTTCTCGCTACAGCTGTAACATAAGTGGCGCTGTCAGAGTGAAACAAAACAGTAAAGTTGTGTCTGACCAAAACAATGAGCTGAAGGACACTAAAATGGTGCTTAGAGCCAAGAAGAATTTATTTATAATTTAACCGTCACATCTGCTTAGCTTACCTCATACTTGTTGGGGTGCCACAAAATTGAGTGTCTCATCAGGATCATAGAGGACAGAGAAGGCTAACTCCAGCACCTCCTGAGAGAAGGAAAAGGGGACAAACAACACGCTCATTGACAGCAAAGAAAAGAGAAACAGCCATGTGAATAGAACAACAAAAAAACTAATTAAAATCACATTACCCTTGTTTTGTTTGAGAGCACTTTTTTTCTTTCATATGAGGGCCAGTCCTTCCAGTCACCACAGACTTGATGTCAGAGACGGGACTGAGATGATATAAAAGTAAACAACTTAATAATAAGCAAGTGAATAAGGTCAGCCAGTGCACTGCTAGTGAATGTGGCATTGTGTGTGTAATGAAAAGTTTATGAGTTGGGAGACGGAGCCACTTGAAGAAATAAATCTTACTCTTGTCACTGAGTAGCTCAAAAGGCACTTCACCCTGAGGTGACTCATCGAGGTCTCCATAATGCAGCACTTTGTGATTCAGTGAGAGTCTGCAGAACCAAAACTTCTCTACAAAAGAGGCAGGGGACACAATGCTTAGCCGATAATCAACATACATCAGTGAACCTTCAGCTAAAGAAACAGCAAAGTGATTGTATTGATGCTGTAGGTACCTTGCCTTCGGCGGTTCCCCAGCTTCCGGAAACAGCTCCCCTCACACAGGCGGTTGAGTCGCTGCTGCTTGATGAGCTCTAAGATCTCGGGCTGTATTCTCTCCCGCAGCTCACTGGAGGACAAACACAGCATGAGCAATATGGAAAAAACACACACAAATGCGTACAACCCTGTTATATTCACTGTATTTTATATTATCTACAAACTCACATGATGGGAGGAGACTGGAAGTCGTCCTGACTCATTCTCTCTGACTGCCGCAGACGCAGGATCTCTGAATAGTTGAGGCCTCGCAGCTTGTTCTTCAGCTGGTCTAAAGAGGACGGCTTCATCGCCAGAGCCCTGGTGATCTGCTCACGAACCACCTGCATCACCTGCTCACGGTTAAAACACACACACATACACGTATACGAATGCATAAGGAAAAGTGACAGAAAACATATCAGATTTCCTAGATATTGAGGCAATGTATGTTTAATCGGTTGGAAAGTCTAATGTTATTAGATATATCTGCATTAGTTTTTAGAGAACAGTGAATATTGTATAAGCTCCCTCTGGAACTCACTCCCACAACTCATCAGAGACTGCACTGACCTCATCACCTACAAAAAACTTACAAAAACTCACCTCTTCAAACTAGCTTTTGATGTGTGATTGTTGTTTTATTGCTCGGTTTTAATGTGACCTTTCCGATATGTATGTGTTGTTCTTTGTACCTCTGTAAGCGACTTTGAGCACCTGTCAAAGCGCTTACAAAATACATGCATTATTATTATAATTATTTAGTTGCCCTTGAAATGAAACCTTAATTTGCATTCTGAAACGGATATTGCCGCCACACATATTTCCCCATCAAAAGGCATAGATGTTGTCCCAGCAGGTATTCTGAACCATTGAGTTGCATGCCCTTCAAATACATGTCTGTTATCAGCTTGACAAAATACTTTGAATCCAAATAGACAGCCTTTGGAATATAGTAGTCCAATATGTTATCTAAACAAAAGACCTCCAGCTCTCTGCCTCAGTGGGCTGCTCACCCACACACAGTGGAGGAATACAGCAGCTGCTAAAGCTTCAGATTTCAATTCTATCTCAATAAATGTTTTACTTCAATACATATTTAGCTTTTCAAAAACAAAATGTTCGCTGCTGTCAATAAAAAATGCCTACCAATTGACACACAAAGGGCACCTCTATTAATTGGGTATTCTAAGAGCATCATAAAAAAAACATTTATATAACCACAATAACAAGGTCATGACATCATAAAATATGACGATTGAGGCCTAAGATGGGAGGCAAGTACACAATCAAGTTGGGAGTGTAAATATTTAAATATATGCTTAAATCTCAGACCTTATTGAAGTCCTCAGCTGTGGCTCGCATCTCCTTCCAGGTTTTATTCAGCAGCTGGATGCAGACACAGAAGAACTCCTCCCATGCCCGGTCATGAGTGAAGAACATGGGGTGGTAGTCATTACATCCTTCATTAGCTACACAAAAGAAATATTAAATTAGAAGACAGGAAATGTAATTAGTACAACAGACTTTCTCTTCTTTCACACACAATGTCCTGGACTGGAGTAACAACTGCTGATACTTTTTAAGATTGTAGATTATTAAAAGTACAACAGCTCCAACTCTTTCAGAGAGAGATCTACTTACGCAATTCTCCAACCTGGAGAATCTCGCACAACATTCGAGTGAGTTCGATGGCACACCGGCCGAAGGGACATTCGTGTTTGTCCTCGCGGCTGCTGTTCTCTAGCACAATCTGTCATGGGTGAGAAGACATGTTGGGTTTGGCTGACTTCACCACCTTTGTGAGATGTGCAAAGTCATATAAGGCCAAAACTAACCCTGATGTACGTGTCCTGGTGAACCTTGGCGAGGTACAGCATGTTATCCAAAGCCAGCATTCCCGGAGGAGTCTGGGTGAAGTCCATGGCTGGATTCACATGGTTCTGCATTTGAAACAGAAATAACATGAGCCATGAGACAGCAAAATCTAAATTATATTTATTATTATTATATATTTATAGAGCTGGTTTACAGGTACTACAGAGGACACTGATATAGTGGAGACTCACAGTGAACCCCAGCATCTTATAGTCCTTGGTGTACATGGCCTTTCTCTTTTCTGTACCAGTGGGGTCATTTTCTCCATCGAAAGCAATCCTACGCAGCTCGAAAATGATGTCTCTCTGAGCCTGAACCCCAGCGAAGAAAACATGTTATCAGCATAAAAAAGGGACATTTTAAAGAAGATGGCAGCAAAAATAAAAATGTTCGCCATTTGATCATTGTTCAATAACGATGTTATTGAAACCATAGATCTGTCATTACATCTAAAAGGAATTGGTTTGAATTCCCTTATTATGTTTGTTAAACTAAGGCATTATAGGAATATATAAGCCATTGACATGTCAAACAGAACATTCATTTTTTTTACCTGGTCATTGGATCCATTTTGGTCATCATCCGTTCTTCCAAGAGGTTGAAGGTCAATACCTGCAGCACATACAGCTGGTGTGCCATTTCTGCTTTGATTGGTCGATTTCCTCTGATCACATGCTGAGAAAAGAAAGATTGACAATAAAGAAAGAGTAAAGCCTCTAATTTCTTTAGAGAGTAAAGCCTCTGTTTTGGCTACAAGTTGTGTACAAACTGCTGAAACAACACACAACACAAAACTAATCTAACAGCCTAATATACTGTTCGTCTCCACTGGAGAGAAACCAAAGGTTGTTGCTTCCTCAAGATAGGAAGAAAGCTGATCATTCTAATCTTCTTTATAGACTTATTACGCTCTGTGAATAATGCATAATGACAAAGAAAATAATCTGGCTTTATAAAACACACAGCAAGACTCCAACAGGTCTTCCTCACTGATGTGTGCAACCACAGGCAGGCACTTCCAGAAGAACGGGTGCCAAAATAAATCATTTTCATTTTCTGCCACTTCACATATTTCATGGCATATCGCATTTGCTGGTTTTCTGTCACAGCTGTGTAAGTGCATGACTAAAGTAACTTAAAGTGAGTTTCCACTTTCTGAACTGGGGGTCCCTGGGATGAAACTTATAGCCCCACACTGACCACCAAATCCCAGCATTGGATAGTCAAAAGAAGGTTGAAGAGATTTTTGTTGAAGTTTTTTTATAGCCACTAGTTTCAAACACAATTTCTGGAAACTGCTCGAATCCTGTGTTCCCACCTGGATATTTCAAAGCTGTCGAAAAGCTTTATAGACCGTCGAGTAGGGCATTAACTCTGATGTGCAGCTGTTATAGCCAGAAAGACTTTCAGAATTCCATTTCAGACTCCATACTCACATTGAGGATGATGGATCGCAGGTGTTTCTGAGCCAAAGTGCTTGCCATTTCCTAAAAGGTAAAGAGATGCATTATTTCGACACACAGGCCAGATGAGGGAAGTAGCTTCATTACACGGTAAAGCAGTGCACACAGCAGCAACTTCACTCAAGTTGACCTACAGTGAATTGAAATGTCAAACTACTGAAATGCAGCATCACTCAAAAGCTACATTTCCATCCCTGGCTTCAACCATCTGCCCTTCACACATTCTGAACAACATTTTCAATCTGTCAACACAGTCTGCCTGCAGCTGCAGCAAGCTGTCCGTGACACAGAAAGAAATGCAGAGCGGAGGAGGAGAAGGGCTGAGGTGTGGAGAGGAGGGTATGAGATGCTGAGGGATGTGTACTCACAGTGAGGGGCTGCTCCAGTGGGTTAGTATACTCCTCCTACAGGTTGAAGGGAGGGAGGAGGGACGTGGGTGTAACAGTGATGGAAACAAAGAGCGCACCAACAGACAATGAGATACAGAGAAAAATCACTGGCACAGCATGCAACGAAATAAGAACATAAAACAGCATAATAGGAACGTCCGGTAGACACAACATGTAGCTGTTTAAAAAACTCCACATGGCCGGCATGCAGTATAAGACCACCATATGTTAATTGGTTGATTAGACTGTTTTATAAGACATTTCCAAAACCTAGGAGCTGTGAAATGATATCAACACAGAGAAGCAGTGGAGCTTTAAAACACTATTTTTGCATGAAATTCACTGTTGTGTCCTGGTAGCTCCCTTAGTAGGGACGTCTTGCAACCTGAATCTGCTGAGGATTTGCTCTAGTGTTAATGTTCAATTATGCAAAAAGGGAATGCTGCATTTTTCATTTGAAAAACTATAAAATATGCAAAGATGTGATAAAAAAAAACATCTATTTATTTTTCAAAAGTAGCTCCACTCTATTTATCGATGTATTTATTTGTAATCATTGTTAGTTAGCAGTTCGACAGTATGCACTTTGTGTCCCTTTGATGTATTAAATAAGTGACTCAGTCGCCCTCCAGTGGTCAACAAAGGCAGCTGGAGGTGAATGCACGTTCAAGGACAACTGTCCGAACATACTGTGCGTCATATGGCAAATAAATTGAAAGGAAATTAGAGCACTCAATAACACTTAGGGAAATACTCCCCCTCCTCTTCTCACAATGTCATCCAACCCTTCGTCAACAAACACAAGCTTAACAGTCAGTCAATGGAGGTTTTTCTTAAGCACAAATCAGTGAAATCTTAACATTTTCTTAACTTGGCGAGTGATTACCACAAACATTTTTGATCAAAGTGTTTGGAATAAATGATCAACAAAAGGAAAGCCAACATGAGCAGCATTTACATAGCTATTTGTCAAACATTTGCATTGAAGGCATTTGTCATCTCTGTTGTATCTTTTCCTCCTTTTCCTGCACGTATTTAGCTCTATTTGTAATACACTAAAACTGTTGCATTTAGTTGGATACTGAATTCTGAAATGCAAAGGGCAAAGAGTTGAGTTTGTGATAGAAACACAGCTAAGAGAGATGATGCCAACGAAAATAGAACTTCTGTAATTGTGTTGTTGGAAAATCATTCTGGGAAACGGAAAATGAAATCATATGTTAGTAGATAGCTGCAAATGAATGGTTTTCAAATTATATTTGTATGACACTTAAAGTTACATTACTTTATATGGTTATATTTAAGTGAAAAGTAATTGTGCTGAAGGATGTCAATTATTAATATACTACATTTTTTTTAATCCTCTCCAATTTCATTGTTGATTTAGTATAGAAGAGCTTAATAATAAAACAAGGCTTTGAAGTTTCTATTGTAAAAATGGTCTTACAAATACAAATTAAACATGGAGAACTGAAATGTAAAGAAAGACGTGCAGCACTAATGACAATGCATGAGACAGGATGAGACACAGCTGTATGCTAGTGTGTGAGCTGGGACAGAGGTTATCACAGAGCGGAGACAAAGGACACATGACGACAGTTATGAGTAGCATACTGGACACACATCCAAAGCAGCACTCGCTCCTTTCATCTTTGTACATTTTGCTCTCTACAAAGATCTTTCAGAATTAGAAAGCATCTGTTTGAGATGTTTCTGTCATTTAAAAAAAAAAAAAAGACAGAACTTAAACTTATATCTTGGTATATTTTTGGTTATATGGATAATTCTTCATGTTACATTTGTTAAATCTTGCGAACAATGCCAGGTTTAATGAATCATCCCAGTGGATTTTCTTAATTCTAGTGTAAATCTGTCTGGCATTGATTCCAATCCTTGAGTTTAATATTTAAAAAAAGCCCATTTCACTGAATTTAGCAAATGAATACTTAATCACTGCATTCTGCTCGGATCCTATCCAACTCTTTGTCTATTTGGCACAGTCATTCCTTCAGTTGGTCTCCGTGCTGAGCTATCCTGAAATAACTGCAGCATAACAAAAGTGCAAACTTCAAAGGAGAACGAGTCCTATTTTGAGTGAGTGTGTCATTACAGCAGTGACTGTCGGATATAATCATGACAGCTGGCAGACAGACGTCTAATTCGTGAGATTAGCTTTAGTAAACCAACCTGCTGCTGCATATATTAGCACTAAGGTGAGGCAATATCTGGCAGCTTCCTAACATGCGGGTATTATGAATAAATGTCAGTCCATTATGTACGGGTGTCTTTATTTAGAGCGTAATGTGAGCACAGAACATCATTAGTATTCTAGCTATGTCTATCTATTATGCGTATTCTGTCTTTTCTCTAATAAAGTACACTGTGTACTGACCTGCCGTCTGTCCTCTGGTGCCTTCAGGAAGAGAGCGTTGATGAGCGCTATGCGTAGGTTTGGATCTCCTGGTTTGACCTGAAGGAATATCAAGCATCGTAACAACCAGTTAGAAGCATCGGGCTCCACAGGAGTCAACAGTTTAAACTAACAACTATTCTGCATAACAATTCATTTTACTTTTATCACTACCATTACTCGGGATGGGTGCAGGATATTTAGAAGCCACTCTTTCACACCAACAGGTTAGAATAATTGTGTGTTAGTCTAAATAGAGACACAGGGCCACAGTGTTATAATTACATGTGATCAAGATGGGTAATTTATGTTATTTTTAGCATTCCTACATACATCCTCCTGCCGCTGTACATAATAACTACAGCACGAAATGTGTATTAATCTGCTGCAAAAAGTAGCGCCTAACAAGTGCACTACTTTCTTCTGAATAAGTAAAGTATCATACATAAAAAAGGGCTTGTTTTTTTAATGTTTACATCTTCAATAGGACCCAACGGGAGACAGACTAACACATTGTTAGTTTGTGTTTTATTCATAATATTTGTTGACAATAAGAAAAATATAGAATAACTGCAAACATGGTGTTTGATAGGGGTCATCTAAGCATCCTGAACTCACCCTTTAAAAAGTGGCACGAGCCAAATATCACAGCAACATTCTAAGACTTTACTACCTAAGTTAACCCCAACTAATACATCACACAACAACCCCCCATATCAGAGTGCGGGACGCCCCTGTGCGTGTGTGTGTGCTCACACTTGCAGGTGCCCGATGAGCTGTCCCACGGTGATCTCCTGTGCCACCCGATGGTAGGAGGCTGTGACTGTTGAGGACCATGCTCTCCAAGATGGCCAGAGAGCGCTGCAGGATGGACTACGTCCACCATTGGCTGGTTCACGTAGCCTGCAATCTGAAAAGGAATGGAGGAGAAACAACACTGACTTCTGAGGCAATTCAACAAGAGCTTCCTCTGCTTATGAAAACGTACATTTGTCTGTGAGAAAAAATGAAATCAAGAGTTTAGAAAGTTTCCCTGAGTGACTGTCAAGGCCACAACGTTTTCATAGAAAGTCTAGTCACACACTGCACACACTGATGAAGCTCGGAAAAATGTGGAGTTGCTAAGCAACAGCACCCACTCATTTCCGGCATGTAGGGAGAAAGGTTGGTAAGGTAATTAAATAAAAGTGTATGAATAAAAAAGTGTGGATGTATGCAGTGGGCACTCTGAGGAGGCGGAGGAGGAGGAGGAGGAGGAGGAGGAGGAGGAGGAGGAGGAGGATGGCGGAGGAGGAGGAGGAGGAGGAGGAGGAGGAGGAGGTACCTGTTTGATGAAGGAGAGGGAGATAAGGTCCCAGGACACAATGCCATGGTCCATGAGCTCCAGGAAGGCAGTGAGAGTGAAGGCCAGCATCTCACCAAAGCTGCAGGAAGCAGAGAACAGTTAGTGGTCCACATCACCTGACCAGGTCTCAGTGGATGTGTGAGACTTTCTCATCATCATCTTCTTGATGCAGTAGGTTTTATAAACAAATTTAAAAAAAAAATGTTACCAGATATTTTCTTTAAATGATAATAAGACATACACCTATTAAAAGGTGGAGTCTGGGATTATAAACCATTACCCTTTTTTGTCAAACTCATTGATTACCTTCTTTACAGTCCACACTGTAAGCTCCGGATATATATATGATTAAATATATCCATATATGATTAATCAATATATGGACTGAAGCAGAACATTTTGCAAGACAAAACATGCTATGATATATTTAAATATCATATTTCTTCATTACATTTGGACTAAGAAGAAAGACCACTACAGGACTGAACTGTTTGAGCGTTTAGTTTTTGTTGAACAATAAATATAAAGAAAATGCTTTTATTATGCATTTATAAGAGACATGGGGAGAGAAAAACCATGCAACCACTTTTCATTATTGTAAAAGAAAAATATTGATCTCACTGGGTGCCACTCTCAACAAGACGTGCCAGAGTCCCTATGCCCTCCATGTTGATGAACTCTGCTGCAAAGGTTGGGTCTGCGGACAGCTTGGCGAGCTCCTTCAGAGCCTCCAGCCGAGCGTCAATACCGTGAGACTGGATCCTCTCCAGGAGCTGGCGGGCGGCACGAGCCTGTCCAACACAGAAAACATCCATTTTATAAGTTTACCTCACCCTCACATTCATTCATTCTGAATTATGATCTTAAGGATTTGCATCAGTGCATTCTAAAGTAGCTATAATACATGTTAAAATATTACAGTTAGTAATTTTTTAGAGACCGACTATTTCTTTGTAATCCAACACTGCCTGCCAGAGGTAACTTCTCTCAGCCTTTTTTGCACTTCAAGAAAAGTTTGGTTAAATTAATTAAATGTACTCATATCAACAAGTTGATGAAGGCTGTGTGATATACATGTAACCTGATATAGTTTAAGGGTTCATTGATGGGAATCTAGGCACAGAGCATTGATAAATAAATATTTTCTCAGATTATGAAAGGGCAATGTTGGGCTAAAAAGTCAGGCAACAAAACTTGCAATGAATCTGAATTATTCCTTAAAAAACAGCTTAGTGCAAAGTGCATCGGCAGCACTTAGTTGTGTGTTTTGGTGGTGGAGGCGTGAGCTGCTCCCACAGTGCATTTGGGAGAAAGGGTGGGATTAGGCGGAATATATTATCATACATTATTATTGTGAAGGCTTGGAGGCTGGTGTCAACCATGGCAAATCACATCAACCTCTTTCTTTCTCTAAAAAGCAGTGCTCTCCCACATCATGTGCTGACAGCAGGTTATGGAGCACCGACACTTGCAAAGCACAACAACTTTGCCTGCACACAAGAAGAGTTTGCTGATGTTCTTTTCAAGTCTTTACAAAAGAAGAATGAGATAGCTAGCTTATGTGAAGTAAATTACAATTTCAAAACTAGTACAGACACAACTGAGCGGGAATAAAATAAAGCAGACTCACAGGTGAGATAGCTAATCGAAGGATCGTCCCGTTCTTGATTTCACTACGGCTCTGAAAGATAATCAAGGAACAATATTTCCAAACGTTCAACACTGATTTGAAATTCCATTAACACAAGCCTTTGAGGAAAACGTTTAAGCTCACCTGCTCCGTGATATAAAGCTGAGGGCCATCAGCATAACGCAGAGCAAACTGCTCTGAGCCGGATAAAGACCAGCTGAGGACGAGAACAGAAAGAAAACGTTAAGAAGGAAAAGTCATATGGAAACTAAAAGAAGCAGTAGGATATCAAATAAACGTGAATGCACAAACAAAATTCAGATCCTGCATTTGTATTTACACAAGTGGCAAAACTACAATACTGTGGAGGAGAATTATTCAGTGGGTGTAACAGTAACAGTTATGTGCAAAGAATTTCCAGTTTGAAATGAAAAAAGGAGGCAGTGGGTAGATACAGCAAAAAAGGTGGATGGGTAAGTTTAAAAACTAAAGTACACGACAAAAGAGCAGATAAAATATCTAAAGACAACAGTGAAGCACAAAACCACATGTTGAGACACACGCAGACATGATGATACATATAACATAAATTAATAATGGGTATTTAAGTAAGGTATAAACGGTCAGATCGTATGTCTGTGTGTGACCCACTGAAGTATTACACAACTTTACATGTGCCTGATTTTGTAATTTAGTTATCAAACAGAGAGTCAGAGACAATACAAAATATCAGGATAATATGGAAATGTGTGGGAGTTCGGCTTACCCATCACAAACTTCCCGTATTATTGAGGACAAAGCTCTCTTCTGCAAACAGGAAGAAAACTCAGCATTACTCATGCCTTTCACATTCAAAACAAATCAAGAACAATATCCGTCAATAATTATTGTTCTGAAGGTTTAATTGAGTCATTAGAGGCAGCTTGGAGATTTGTCATGATGTCACGTTTTTAGCAGATACACACCTGGTCCATCTCTATTAGCTGAGCATTCGCACCAGGCCATTCAATAGCCACCTTCACGATGTCGACTGGGGGCGGCATGATGTATTTTTGCAGTACTCTACACGGGAAAAAAATCATTAGTTTTATCCCTAACACAACTTCTCCTGTTGGACAGTATTCAACACCAGTTGGGAAAAATTGTTATGACCTGTGTACTTCACTTGAACACAGAAATACATTTTAATGTGACATTAGTGCCATTAAAATGATAAATAATAAATCATGTTTGACACCTCACCAGTTCAAATGGAATATACGTTTTATTTTATTTTTTAGAAATCATTGCTTTTATTACTTTATTCACACTATGTCAATATGTTTGGACCCCAGCCAAATAAAAATCTAAAAATACATTTTGGATTTCAGTCTCATGATTGATTAACTTCAAATGACACGAAATGAAGGTTATACATCACCTAATGGAGAAGCGTTGAGGGGGTCAACCACTCTCACAACTTTGCTGTATAAACCGCTGAGTCAGCTCCTCTGTGAACACAGAAACCCACACAGCAGTCGTGTCAGTGAAAAACTTTTTCTTGAAACCCAAATGCTCAGTTTGCTCCATCCATGCATTTCTCTCTGAATTGAATCTGTCAGTAAACGGATCAATACGCATGACTGTTTTACTGAACCACCCACACACACACACACACACACACACACACACACACACACACACACACACACACACACACACACACACACACACACACACACACACACACACACACACACACACACACACACACACACACACACACACACACACACACACACACACACACACACACACACTGAATGTGTCTAGTTTTCTGCCTACTGGACTCTGGGTTTGCCGTGCTTCCTGCCTTTGACAAGTTGTTATTATTTCCAATGAACATTACAAATCAAACAATGAATAGAAGTTTACCCCAGTTGTGTAAAATATTTCTTCATCAAATGTCAGTTGTCTTCCAATTGCAAAGTTTAAAGGAATCAAAATGGGTTTCTGTAGTGGGGAAACAAAAAAAGACAAACCTAATATGCAACACAGCTTTTTAATGGACCTATAGTTTACCCTCTATAATGCTGCCCAATGTTAGCTTATCGCAGATACGTGTTGGCTGCTAAGTAAAGAAACTGCAGAAATGAAGGCCAATGATATGTCTGAGGTCATTTATAAATATCTCGCTCAGTTCTAATCAAAACAGTATTTTTTAAGGTATATTGTTATCAGGCTTTTAAACTCCTATATATTTAATCCTGTATATTCAAACAGGCACGGCTTTAAGCCCGAGTAGAAATCCAAGTACCGTTCAAGCTCTAGATGTTTGTCAAAGATAATATCACTATTTGTTAGAAACAGGTTCCACAGATTTATTACAGTGTCTTCACATTTGCATTTGAGCAATGAATAAATAAACTCACAAATAAATCATAGGAACAGCATGCTCCAAAAGCTGTGCAGAGATAGCTTCAGCTTAAAACAAAATGGAATACATGTACTGTTTTGCTTAACATCTGCTCTCAAATGACACTTTATTGCAAACTCTTTTGTACAAATGCAGTTCTTAAAACAGTTTGATTAGAATCACTGCAAAAGCACACATATTTACCAAAAAACAGTCCCTGTGTATTTATCCACATTACGTCACGCTTAATTTGACTGGTGCACTGACGCTTGTTCAACTTGTTTCTTTATTTGCTCTTTAATTCAAGGGTGGTGGTATGAGGTAAAGGAAACCCACAGCATCTGGTCTTTGGCAACAGAAAGAGACATGAAGAGTCAACAGCATGTTACCATGTTAGTACATTTCTAGCACTGCAGCACAGTGTTTCTCAGTCTGTCTGACTCTATAAATATGTTTAATTTACGTCAACAATGGCTCTGACGTCTGACTGGTATTATTTGATCATTTGTAAAAATATATCACATTTTGCTCTCATACACAAGTTTTTTCTTTTGGGAAAACACACTCAGTTCAGTTGTCTCTAAATCATTGCACTGCAGATGTCATTTCTCACGATGAAGAAATCTCAAAGTTAGAATTAAAAAATGTAAATTATAAGCATGCCCGAATCCTTTCATTTAAAAAACGTTACACCACATGATCATTGCATATTCTACACATCATTTGTCACAAACTAAGAGAAGAGTATCGGGTGATGTGATAAACATCAACAACAACAAATGAAGTTGGATACTGCATAATGCAATAATACAGAGGGAAAACTGCAAATTAATTTCAGATTCCAGCCAGCCATCTGATGAGAGACTGCACTGCCTCCGCATCTTCAAGCAAACTAACCAACACATCACATAAATGTGTGATCTCATAACTTTCTGAAAAGTTCTTGTAATAAAAACATGTTTTCCACAAGTTCTGGAGCATGTTTTTTTTTACGAGTAATGATACATTTTGCCAAAAACATTACAAGAAGGGATTAACCATGTGTTTCCTCTATTAGTGAGTTGTGGAATAATTGACACTGCAGCTTCAATTTGATTGTTTAGGTTGCCAACATTAACATGTAGTGAAATGCAAAGAACATCAAGTAGATAATTCAAGATGTCATATGTGGTGGCGGGGTTTTCTTTCGTATTAACTTGCTTAAATTAAATGTTACCATGAAATAATATTTCCACACCTTAGTTTGCGTTCCCATGAAGCTTTGGGTGCTCAACAAGTTTGAAATACAAAGTTGTTTAAATGCTCTCTAAAACCATTTGAGTCAACTATGAAAAGCCATTTATCACAGACCTTGCAACTCATTCCGATACAATTGTAACTATTGGGGAATTGAGTATTGACCTAAATAAGGCTGCTGATAGCTAAATATTAGTGTTACTTCTTTAAGTTTTTTTTTAGTTCACACAGCTTGCACATGAACGCTCTCACTCCAGTAGCAACACCTTTGACTTGATTTGTTCCACAGGATTGAGGCTCCTGCTCTGACTGCCTCCTGTCACATCTGTGCTGTCAGATGACATTAATATCACATGTTGAGCAACGCTGGTCTCTGAAATGTTGGATGTGTTCACCACTTGCTACATTGGTTTGTGAACTTTAACTGTATATGGTGAGTAAATTGCCTGTAGTCCTGACTCCTTTCCCTGCAGTGACAGGGCCGGTCAAAAGTGGTTTGACTTACACACAACTCTTTCCTATCTCCTGCGTTCAGTTTGCAGTTTTATTTGACTAAAACAAAGACTGTAAAATATGTCTATACTTAGCTTTTTAAAAAGAATGTGTCCAGCCTTAAGCGTGTCTGCAGGAAATTGAGCAACACATAGTCTACAGTTTATCAAAACAGTTCGTTTTCTACATGGAACAAGTATGTATCAAAATAGCACTCTTTCCACTGCTTTATCAGTAACAATAAACACTAGATTTATTTGTGCACTGTAACCAAACTCACCCAAAAAAGGTTGTCTGTTAGTAGCTGCTCACCATTTAAGGTTTGTGATTTTTCTTCTTTAGAAGTATAGACATATTAGATACAATCTAAGTGCCACATTTAAGGTTACAAAATATGGATATTGAACCTCAGATTCTGAAATGTCATTTTTGTGTTTGAACCCAATCAAAAATATTTCTGTTCTTACACATTTTGAGACTATCTCGGCTGTCCTGGGACTGCTCACTCTCTCTCCCCCCATTCCAGATGTTTTGGATCTGGATATTTCCAAGTCTCCATGGTGGAGAGGAGGTTGTGATCCCAAGTTGCTTAACATCCGCCCTGTTTCAAATTCTCAATTGTTATGCTTACAATCTTTCCATACTGTAATGTTTACTTTATTGGCCTTTTCTGTGACACATGTATCTATTGCACACCTATCCTGGGAGAAAGATCTCTCGCTAATTGTTCTTCCTGGGGTTTTATCTATTTCTTTTTTGAAAAGGTCTAACTCAAAAATCAAGGGTCTAATTCAGGACAGAGGGTGTTGTAGCCTGTACAGATTGTAAAGCCCCTTGAGGCAAATGTGTAATAGAGGGGTATACAAATAAAAAGTAGGCCTACTTGTCCGAGTGAAAGTGAGCCAGCTTGCAAAAAGCACTTGAACTGACACACCTGTTGTTGTTGTTGTTGTTGTTGTTGTTGTTGTTGTTGTTGTTATTATTATTATTATACAGGTCTGCTTTTCCTGGGATGATACTTTTTTTTTGTCAGGGTCGGATTAAAAGATGTAGGGAACAAAGGCAAGGCGACATTCCTAGTTTCTCAAATTGGGAATGTTGGGCTTGGCATTGTTAGAAGAAAAGCTCAAAACCTTCATGTCTGAAATAAATCTGATAACTATGATAAGCAACACTTTCAACTCCACACAACACAAGTCCTGCATTTGTGTTCAAAGTTGAGCTTTCAACTCTAATATAATGCGTAATGGATTAATGTATTACGAAGATCCCATTACATTGTAAATACTTTAGGAGTAGCCTACAATCTTAAACTTCATCATAGCCAGTTACATTTCTGACAGGTAACAGTTGTAATGCAATGCTGTCATTTGAAGTAAAAGTAGAACAGTAGGCCTACGTTGAGTTGCATATTTTGTAAGTGCTTGGTTACTTTCATAGACTGGTTACTTTACATATCATACCTTTCAGTTGGGGGGCACCAGGTAGTTGACTTATTGACTTATAAGACTGCCCCTGTTTTGGTGGCTCAGTGCAGCTGCTTGCTGATGGCAACTGTTTTCTATCCGTGACACTGTTGTTTCCTTGAAATGTGACTGGTAATAACTGGTATATGACTGGGTACTGGTGTTCTTTACTGGGAGGCTTTAACGGAGACCACTTCAGCAAGTGATCTGGCTGCATGTGTGCTGCGGTGGTAGCATAGCAACAGCGAAGGGTCTGAAAAGAGACCCCACAGTGTGTCTGAGAAAAGACAACTTTTTCTGTCCCCCACCAGCCACTTTCACCGCGACCCGGATGTTTCTGGCGCCATTTTACTATTCTTATAATGTGGTTAGGGGCTTCTGTCTGCGCTGCTTCAAATAAAAGATGAACACATGCAGGCTGTGAAGCTCCCAACTTTTACGATAGCTAGTTAGCTAGCGTCAGTAGAATATGCAAAGTGGCGCCCCCTTTGGTTAAACGATGCTTATTATATGAGGAGTTTTCCGTTAGTGGAGAAAAACTGCAGTTTTCCTTTATTCCCCTTTCTATAGAAAACCATGATTGCATCTAGACAAATGTACAGTCCATTTGTATGCAACGCGACAACAGTCACCCACTTGCATGTAAGGAGATGGACCTTCTTTTGGCTATCTTCTCCCAGGTGTTTGCAGTCACCGTTAATACAGTCAATAAATGCTTCATGCATCATAAACTCATAATAAAAAGGTTTAAGGCCTGATTAGATGTGATCGATCAGCCTAGGCTGGAACTATGGTAACCACAGGGAGCTGATGCAGAAACGGCAGCAACCTTGTGATGTTTATCGAAATCAATCACTGCCCGTCATAGTGTCGGTGTATCAGACAGGGACTAACACAAGACAGCACTGCCTCTTGATCATATCTGTGTGAAAGTAACATTAAACAACGATACTCACTCGCTTTAACGGTCAGTAGCAGCGTTATTCCTCAGAAGGTGACCAGTGTTATTCAGTCATCCAGCCAGTCTCTGCCTGCCCCTCCATTGCAGTCATGATGTAGCCTGTCTCCCGGCGGCTGTCCTGAAGCTCTCAGGATATACTTTGAAACGGCTTTATGATTTTAACTCAAGCCTGGTTGCTATTGTCGATGCTCAGTGTCATCAGGCCACCGATGATGCTCACTATCTCTATCCCTCTCTCTACAGAGAAACACTTTTGGAAACGAGACACTATTCCACGCCTTGTAGGCGGGACACAATGTAAATGTCACCGTCTGCTAATGAGGCAGCCCTTCTTTATCTGATCAATAATGCACACTCAAACTGACATCTTCCCGGTATACAGCGATGATAATACATCACATCAATCCGTAGGCTATATTTGACTTATTACTCTTTGACAGGGTTATGTGTGCAATTGTGTGTCTCAATTAGACATCTACACAAAGAACATGGCTATTCATGTATGATATAAGTTTTCCTATTTCTCTTATGCTATCACATTTGTACAATTGGTTGTACCATCCAAACACAAACCAAGACAACCTATAGCTGAGAGAATCAATACAAAAAGATGTGTAAAGTATGAGGTCCATTTTCTTATAGATTATGGCCTGGTTAGTTTTGCTTAAATAATAGTTACACAAATGAAAACCTGTTATTACAGGAGCATAACACAACAACCTCCTAGAGATGCATATTGAATTTCAGAGCCTTTGCGAGATATGCCCGTTCATTTCTCTTTCCCTTGCCTGTAGATCTTACAGATCAAAATATTGACATGACAAAGAGAAAGAAATCTGCTCAAATGCTTTATTTCATGCAAGTAAAACTGGGCATGAAAAAACAAGGGCAGATTGTTGTTACTTATGTAAACGTACTTACTTCATGTTTAACCCACATGACCATGTTGTGTATCAAGACCAGCAAAAGATTAGAATCTGCACCACGCAGACGGATGATGGCATTCACGGCACAATACATCTTTATTGAACACAGAAACCATGTGTACAGGAATAATATCCACAGCCTCAACTGAATAGGTAACGGCTGCTGGTGAAACTCGAAGGGGCCAGCAGACGACTGCACGTAAATTCACTGAGGAAACCACTTTTGAAAATCAAACAGCTGAATGTATTTAGCTCCACGTTACAACTCATGCATGACATCAAAAATAGTATTTCTGACATGATAGTTTCATCAACAAACATGGACATACCCAATCACAAATGAACAGAAGCTGAGTCAAACTGCTGCTCTGGAAAGTTAAGTTTAGAATGAGCATCAGATTACGTGAGGTTTATAAAAAAAACAAAAATTAACATCACCTTTTATCAACACCATCTGGATGCATTACAGTCAATAACACATTCTGCAGTTTATCTGTAGATCAAGTGTACCAATAACCCCAACAATCACCAATAAAATAATGATGGTACTTCAGAACTATAAACTCTGTTACAGATTTCAGACAAGTGGCTGTTCAAATATTTCCCTATTTGAAAACTTGAGATATCACAGCACAAGGTCTTTCATCCATGTCCTGGCAGTTTATGTGTTGTCATGCCATTGTATTATTAAAATGAAAAACAAGAAAATAACTGAAATAAAGCTCAATGGTTTAGGAAAGGCTGAGGGTAACAATACATATTTGATGGTCATTTTCTGACACGTACACCTCACTGCATCAGACACACAAGCAAACTGGCATCAGTATCAACATGAAGCAATCACAGCTGTTCAAGGTTTTTAAACACACGACCATACATGAAGGTTCAGCGGCACAAATGTTGCTGAAGTGATCTTTTTTTTTGTTTAACATCACAACATGTCACTGAGAACACACCAACATGTAGACCGACCTGTGAAGCTTTGCCTCAACACACACGACAAAATGAACCACAGCAAAGCGATAAGATGTACATCAACACAATGCTAAAAAGTTTAGAAACAAAGCATGTTCACTTTACTAAACTCGGCTGTAAACTGAAGACGTCTTAGAGGTAGGAAATGGGCATGGAAAATGTTCCAGGAATAATTATTCACCCGTTAAAACCGGTGTTAATTATATATTATTTCTACGAATCATGAGGCCCAATAGGTTTCTCCTATAGAGAGTTACAGCAATATCTTATAACGCCCTAATAATAAAAGAATCCAGCAGCTTTATTGCACTTGATGAGCAGTTCATAATTAATTACTGTCCATTGATTACATACAGTGATATAATCTGTAGTTGTAAAATGTCTATCAAATTGACAAATATAGACCAGCTCTGCATATGGCATTGGTAGAAGTGTATTTAAATGAGAATAGATGACACTATTTAGTGGTTTGCATCATTATAAAGACTAGGTTAAGTTATTACACATACAGGCAAATTAGACTATGTAATAAAGTTTCAACACCTTATGTTATACGGGATTAAAGGCCACATAGGGAAGTGGGTTCTGCAAAACTGTCCAAGTTCTAAACCTCGACAGCTCGTTTGACACCAGAGGCTTGTTAAATACCAAGTTTCACACTGATTACATTCCCACTTGTTAAAAAACATTTCCATCTACTATGAACAATGTGTGTGTGCAGCTGCCATTTCAGGGACTAAATGAATTCATCAGAAGAAGAGCAATGACATCCAGCGTGTAATGAGCTTCATTAACATTACTCCAGAATTGAGATGTTAGTACAAGTGTGAAGACAACAAATCCTCACGATACATAATAACCAAGGTGCTGCATTACAACAGATGCAGATAACTGATCACATGAGATGACATTTACAAAGAGCAGTCGGTTCAGCTGAGGTCACAAGTCACAGGCTCACAGGCAACACCATGCAGGTAACGTTAACACAGTCTCCAGGTCTGAGTCCTGTTATTTAAACACAACCTACACACTCCCATACGGTCAATACAGAATATTAACCTGCAATGAGAGACTTTTGCATGTTATTATCTACAATAAACTGTATATATAGTCTTTAAACCCAAATTGTTTTGAAAAAAATGTTCACATCTTGAAAACAACATTTCTAAAAATGATTGATTAAAATGTCCAACAAATGGGTTTCATTATGAGACATTATTCACTGTGCATCAGCTGGATGTTTAATAGGTCTGTCCCGACTGTGTGAACGTTAATTTGAAAGTTTTTATTTAAATAGTATCAGCCAGCTTCATGGTCAGAAAAAGAACATGTGATAACTTGCTCAATGTTGTGGTATAAAGTACAGTACTACTTAATAAATATCTGTGGAGGAGTTGCGTAACAAAAAACAACCTACAATGATGTTGCGGATGTGCTTAAAATAGTATTTTGCAATGAATTGTTGTTAATAACAGACAGCAAGAAAGTAAAATCAAAATTTGTATCGGCTCACCAACATTAGTTGAAGCAGGTTATTTATGTTATACTTCAAACATCCATATTGAGCAAGAACAGTTTTAAGTCTGACACCAATGTGACACAATTCATGTTTTAACCAAGAGAAACTTAACCATCTTACAATTGGAAAGGGGCAATTATTTATAAACTCTATTTGTGTAGGACCCAACAAATTCAACTTTTGGTCATCTTGTCTATAGATATTCTGGTCTCAATAACATGATAACGTATCAGCAGCCCTCTGCTTTCAAACCCATCGACTATTTGCACATTTTAACCCCAGAAGTGTTTATAATAAAATACTATAAAAAAGGTAATTAAACTCCAGGTCATTACAAATTATATTATAACATTTTCATTTTACATATCCACTCCGATTGGATTAGAGATCAAATTGGTTACAGTGGTTATTCGTTCCTTTTATTTATTATAACACTGTTAATTCAATAATGCACACAAAATGTGCAAACGGTCCAGGGGTAGAAGACATCACATTTGATTGAACAAACATAAAATCATGCCATGAGTGTTTTAGTCAATCATACTGTATTTACAAGGATTTACATTTACAAGGATTTTCTCTGCCATGCATTGTTTCTTTATCTGGTGAATTCTGAACCAGTTTCATTAAACCATACACTATGAACACTGCATTATTCAACAGGGGGATAGTAAGTCATATCTTTAGGGAGCCCAGGCAGAAAATGATGATCATATCTAGACTGATTTATTTGTAATTCCTTTTGTGGACGGTACTTTACAATACATGACTATAGGTCTGTAAAGTTGTATTTTTTTAAGAATCTTACTCTCATGATGAGCTCAACGTCGCCCCGGGCCTCATTAATTGCTTCCTGGGTTTATAATAAATACATTTTGAATGGATTTACAGGTATATTTACTCTGCTTTTTCCCTAAAGGTGCCGGTGAGATGAACAGAGAGGGGAAACAGGGAAAATACCAGAGTGGGGTTGAAGGAGGGGAGATGTACGTTTGTGAGGTCACTACCAGTCTGCATTATCCCAGGTCTCCTCGGCAGGTTTTGTGGGACTCTTCTTCGTCTTACCCTCTGCGTTCTCCCAGTTGTTGTCCCAGGCTTCCCAGCTCTCCTCTGTGCTGTGTTTGTTGTTGGACGCTCCCTCTGAGCCCCAATTGTCCCAACTGTCAGAGCTCTTCTTTGCAGAATTATCTACGTTGGTCCAGCTGTCACTGCTGGGGGATTTCTTGGCCTTTAAGGAGTTGCTGCTTCCAAAGGTTTCCCAGAAGTCCTTTGCGACAGGCTGGGTAGAACTGCCCTGATATCCCTCAGTGGCATCCATGTTCTGGTAGCTCTCTCCAGTAGACCTGAAGACAAGCAAAACATGTTTGAACAGTTAATGTTGGTCACGCAGTACAAAACATATTGGATGTGGGAGATTTAGAATTGTATCAAGTTGTTGTCATTACCCATCCTCCGTTTTTCCCACGAAGAGATTAGTCAATTTGGAACCAGCTCCCTGGACCTAAAGAACAGAAACAGTTAAGCTAACAATACTTTGACGCAGTTGTTACTTGAAGTGTTTTTACAGATTGTGTTAAAAAGAAAAACATCTTAACAAAAATGTAATACAAAAGTAAAAACTAGCAATCATAGAAGTGATAATAAAAAGAAACTAATTACCACAAATACATAAACATTTCTAGTTTTTGTAACAACAGTTTGAGGTGGTAATAATAAACTGAAAATAGATATTTCTAACACTTTACATCGGATTAGTTGACCACAAAGTACTCACCACCGAATTAAAAATGGCAGCAAGAAAAACAAGAGGTGACAGTGAGTTAGAAATATTCATCATCATAGCAAAACCAGTCTCCTTGGAGGGCTAGGACCTCTGCAGTTTTTGGTTATCTGCCCTAAGACCCCCATGTATTTTAACTGTTGGATTAAAGCTGCTGTTCCTGAATCAGGAGACTGGTTTTGTGTCTGTACGGCGTGGCAGAGGTCTGCCCCCCCTACCTTGTTTGCCAGCCCGGTGATGCCGAGTGTCATTTCATCTAGCAATTTGCCATCTTTTACCTGAATGAGTCAAATGTTTATTAAAAACGTATAATGTCAAAAATGTCCAATCACACATGTTTGTCTAAGGTACATGTAGCTAGCAGCAGTTTGGTTTTCCATTGTGAGAAAAGGATTGGTTTTGTTAATAATCAACATGAGAAAACAACATTTTGTTTGAGTCCAACAACAAGTGATTCTTCCCAAGAGGAAATAAGGCCAAAGTTAAGCAACTGAAACCAGAGACTAAAAGCATTCTTACAGAGGAGCAGACTATTGATACCTCAAACCATTAATGCCAACTGTACATTAGAAGACAAAAACCTTTAGTTTAAAACTCAACCTCCGTCAATGGCTATCCCACTTTTCATCAATTAAACCAAGATAGAAACCCACTTCCTGGATTTTGTTTTCTTAAAGCTTAACAAAACTAATATCCTATTAAAAGACTGATCCAGGAGCTGCTCTCTTGACTGGGTTAGAGAAGTATTTTGGATATAACTCACCATGATCCTCAGGGAGTGAGACATATTCAGTACAGTATTGTGATGCAACAGCATATTTTGCAAAGCCAGTAAGCAATTGATTGTCAATTGAAGAGCTCCAGATTGTGTCTTTTAATGTTTACCAAACTTTATAGAAGAATAATTGTAAAAGCCTTGGAGCAAGACTTCGGCCAAATATGTATGCCAGTGATCAGTCAAGCTCGACTTCAAGTGCAAAATGTATATCAAATTAAGATTTGTTTCATTTGGTAGCCTTGCCTGGTGAAATGGAAATTACATTTGGTTAACATCTTTGTATAAATATAGATTTGGCCCAGCACAACAGGATTTGCATGTTTAGTGTAAAGGCTCATGTTTCTGATCATCAAAAAACACATTAGTGGTTATAATATATTCAGTAAATTAACCTTGCGATACTTCAAATCCCAAAACCCGACTGCCTTGAAATGACAAAGACTTTGGCTCATAAAAAAGGGTTTAATTTACTTTTGAGCGTGGTCCAGTCACTGTGTGGAAAAATCCACATTGACTCACATCCGTTCCCATATACACAGTTCACAGCTTTCTGCAAATCCCATTAATGAATCACTAACTTGGAGAAATAAAAAGAGTGTTATTTTTAAACTGCAGTTTTTGTCTTTTAATTTCAGCTGGCACAAAGCAGATAAACTGGCACAGACAAGCAGTGTAGAAAATAGCACATTCACATCTGAAGCCGTTTTGTCTCTAAAGCACTAAAGCCCACCACCAAATCAACAACTTCAAACATCAATGTTACCTTTTCTTGTGTGGGTTTGATAACATTCTCATTTAATGTCTGTCCTAACTCTGTAGCCTAGTTGGAAGTCAGAGAGGAGAATGCACTTGAATGAAACAGAGTTTAACATTCACAGTAGAGCAAGACACTGAGCTGCTTGTTCTGCAGTAGCATGAAGTGACTGATCATTCCCATTCAACATGACACTGAACAAGCACTAGAGGGTGTAATGGTTCAAAGGAATATACATCATCAGTGTAGAGCGCATATCTTTTCTGTGTAGTCTGGTGAAACACTAAAAGCTTTCAATTGTAACTACCAAAATCTCTGTTGTTTCCTCGACTTCCTAAGTTCTGCAGAGCAACATGCTGCATAAAGGTTATATAAAACATATGTTATGTTGGTTATTCTTGTTTCTTTATGTATGCGAAAAATATAGAAAAGTAGAGCTACCATCCCCTTTTAACTTAACCCTGCCGAATGTTGCAATGCATTCATTGTAATAAATACCAACCGTAATTGTATTTACATACCATTACACCTCTAAGGCACATAAGCAGTCAACACAAAACTCATGCATGAATTGAATAGCCACTACCAAAAGAGTTTATGGAAAAAACATATCCATATTAAAGGCAATCACTATCCCTCTGTCTTTCACAGGTTATCTATTAACTCAAAGTACAGGCACCAAGAAAAACACAGTATATTCAAGCAGAAGCATGTGAAAATCATAATTTTGCAAAATATTCAATCAACACTGACAACACTACAAACTAAAATTAAAGAAAGTGGGTAATGTGTTTGCTGAAAAAAAACATGATGCGGAATAAGCGCCATGCACCTATTATCTGCTTTACCGGTTCTGGGGGTGCTTTATAGCCCTTTAACTACATCCAGAGAAGGCAAAGAGATATTGAAGTAGTAACACAGTTATTGCAGCTTTAAAATGTACATTATAGGGTTAGAGATTTACAAAAGCTAAAGATATTACTCAAAACAGAGAGAAAAGGTCAGAGGAAAACTTTATTAGCAGTACTGGTAACAGGTAACCCATGCTTTTATTCATCTTACCTTTAAGGTTGCTTGGTTTGCCAGTTTAGATGTCTGTAAGAGGGGGAAAAGACAGATATGTGAATTGATTTATTCTGACACCAATTCATTACAGCATAAAAACAAAACAGTATTTATTGCTTGACTCTACTCACATTATCTTTAGCGATAGTAGCAATCTTGCTAGCTCCAACAGCGAAACTGCTCCAACCCTGCAAAAGAATAAACACATTTCCAAAGAGGGAAAAACACAAGGAAGGACAAATCTGACAAGATATACAGCATGACTCACTGAATAAATAGAAGTCATGGCATTGTTGATGAAGTCATCCTCCTTCTTCTCTGGGGTCACGGTGTTGCCAAAGCCAACATACCGATTCTCTTGGTTGCCACTGTAGCCCCCTCCGCTGAGAGGCATACGAATATATATTTAACAGATAATTGAAATCAAACAACATTATAATAATGAAGTGAAGGCTCTCACCTCTGATATGAGTTAACATCATCACTCAGCCAGTCTTCAAAAGCTTTGTCGCCGGGTTTCGCTGAGCTTTGTCCCGGTCCTCCAGAGCTGTGTGAAACATGAAATCACTGCTTTAAAACCTGTCCTGTAGTGAGAGCGTGTAAAAGAAAAAATCCATCACTCTTACCGATGAGAGGATGAAAGGCCGGCATTGGGTTGAGGAGATGTCCAGTTTCTGGCCGAGGACGTCTCAATGGACCACTCCTTACCCTCTGCTATGGTTGCAACCTGTCATACAGAGTGTGTACATTTAAAATCAAGTTCCTACAAACAAGCAACCTCAGGGTCTGAACGTGATACGTAAAAACACTGAAGTGCTTTACACTTGCATTCTTTCTTATGGCCAGCAGGGGGCCATTCCTCAGTTTGCACAACACATCTTCAGTCAATGAGAGTTTATGGTCTCAATAGCTCGTTTTGAATCGTGTACATATACTATGAGGTTCATTTTGTAAATGATGGTCCCATTTAGAATAATACAGATGACCGTGATCAATACCAATGTGTTTAACTTTTAGTAATTTAACCCTTTCACAGTGTGTCAGTTAATGACACCTCGTTTAATTTGGTCACTTAAAAATGCTTTGTTCACTTTTCTGGTGTGCTTGGTAAAGAGCAAGCATCCTCCAGTTGGTGTACACAGTGAACATATCAAACAAATACATAGCACAAATAGATAATAAAAACAGACTGGGGGCGATGCTAGTCTACCATCAGCGTTGAGAACAATTTGTTGGTTAAACTCTGTGGAACTGGTCAAAGTGGTGCACACCTCACCTTGTCTCTAAAGAGTGCAGCAGGTTTGCTGTTGTATTTCTCCTGTAAATTCCAGGTGGGATCATAATCATCTTGGAGCTCGAGAAATTTGCGGAATTCCCCATTTCCTCCCACTTTCATCTTCTCAAGCTCAATATCTTTCCACTTGTCCATGGTGACAGAGCGCACGAAACTGCAGATAAGACAGAAGGGATCATTATCAGACCTGGCAGGAACTCCACTATCATCAAAACCATAATACAAATCACTTGTCTTACCTCAGATGTACTCCCAGGCCCCTGTGCTTGCCAGAGCACTCAAGACAAATCCAGATCCCATAAGTCACACTAACCCATTGAGGGTTAAAACCCCCACACTCATAACATAGCTGAAACAAACAAAGCACAGTGAATGCATTTTAACATCTGCTCAGAAAAATCTAAAAAAATGAATTCACAAAAGATAATGTTGCCTGAGCCTACATTTAAAAGAAAACATGGGTCCTTGTCTGCCAAGCAAACTGGTGTTAAAGCAAATGAACCAACCACAGGATGATATGATATCAGATATCTGATGTTTGCATTTTGGTTCAAGATAAACTACTAATATAATGACAACTATAATGAAATATTTGTAGGAATCATACTTGATCTGTTTCAGGGCATGTATATAACCTATTTATGCTAATCATTTGGTTACAAGCTGTTAAAACTGCTGTGCATGTTCCCGACTTTGTCAGTTGAATAACCCATTATAAAATGATAACAGTAATCCCACAGTAACCATTTTATTGTATAGAATGTCCAGGCCTTGAGGCTAAATACAAAATAAATAAAAATAAAATAAATGTTTTTTTTCTTTGTCAGTTAAACAGAACAGAACAAAAATATGTTTACTTATTTATATAGTTTATTTTTAGGTTTAGTAGACGTATTTGTCTGGTGTTATTGCCCGAGATGCAGGCCAACAAGATGTTCACTGGCAGTGAAACTCCCGTCTAAAATGACTCCCAGCATTTATCTGAACATGGATGAGAGCGGAGAACGTTGATCGTGGAAAGGTGCTTCTTTGCAAGACTCCCAAACACCTGCTACCTGAATTATAAGATGCCAGAGAGGTGAAACTATTCTGAATAAGAAATGAAAACTAGCCACATGAGTAACTAAATGAAGCTCAGCGCAAGTTCAATCAGGAAGACTAATATCCTCTGGCTGTTACACGTCATTTCAATACTCTCTCCTCTCTCAATAAGTGATCGGGGGCGTTACTCCCCAGCTAGCCAATCATTTCCCACCATTTCTCACAACCCATCATCGCACCCGCTAACCCCTTTAAATCTGCTCTTCCCTCTCTGTCAGTTGTCATTTCAGGTGTCAACGCGCAACCCTCCTCCACCCCTTCACCTCCTGTCTCCTCATACAGGGTCAAGCTAAAACCTTCTCCCTTCAGACCGGACCGAACTACTTATCACCACCATCAGTGTCTAGACCCCGGGGGGGTTAATCGGAGCGGTTTTTTCCCCTCCTGAATGATCATCCTGCAAACCGGGGCCTAATCGCCAAACATCATTTCATTCACTTGTTATAATCTGTCAATCACTATTCCTTCATATTATGTGTCCCGGTAATAAACATGTATTTCATACATCACGTCTCTCCTGATTGAACTTACATTATTCTCTTCTTGGGTTCTCACTTCCTTCAGAACTCGTCTGGTCCTTGGACTCGCCATGTTGAACCCCACTGAAAGAGAAAGGTAAAGGATCTTTGGAACATTTGTTTAAGCTTGATCAAAAGACACTAAATACTCCTGTAAATGAATACTCCTAAACACAACTTTAAGGTAACAATCTAATAATTGCCTATAATTGTAAAACAACCGTATCAACACCAGAGCACTATTTCAAATACTGAGATCACAGATTTGTTTTTTATTGTTTCCTTAACAGAAAATTCTCCTTTAATATAAGTGTTACATTTTCTATTATTTAATGAGGTCGGTTGTCATTTCTGAATTTGAACTTTAAATCTCTGCTTCAAAGTAGTGATGGAAACTTCTTTGATGGTGTCATCTAAAACAAACAGGGCCCAGCTCCAAAGACAGCAGGCTAGACTGAGGTGTACTGCGCCTCGCCTGGCAGGTGGATGAAAGCAGCTCGAAGGCTGCAGCCAAGAGATAGGGCAAAGGCTGCAAGAAGACCTTCCCAGAATGATGCAGAAAGTAATCTCAATATTCATCAGAGTATTACTGCAACTTTTAGAGGTCACAGATAAGGCATGTCACTAATGTGGATGAAAGGAAAGTCATATATGATTATATATTAGCACTTGTGCTTTAATTCAAGATGTTGTTTTTGTACACCACTAAGACATTGCTGTACATTTCAGATCAATTTCACAACGTGTTCTATTGTCCGTGGCACTGGGACACACAAAGTTGATGATTAATAAAGCAATTACCAGAACATTCAGACAGCCGTGATTGTGATATAGTTTCACATTCACTACTTTAAATCCTACACAGTCTGATGCTATGTAATGTCAAAATATTTCATGAAAAGACAAAGACCAACAATAAATGGGTCCTACTTAGAAGAATAAGGAGCCAAAGCATGACATATTGTTTTCCTTTGTGTTATAAACCTCTGTTTAGTCATCCAGAGAATATGAAAACACATCAGGGAGCCACAACGTTCATCTGTATGCCGTCCCTTCCATGCAAAGAAAATTGGCACTGTGGTTTATATAGGCAGATCATACATAAAATGTCCTTCTGCTGTAAATTCTTGAAGCAAAATATATTTATTTTAAAGATGTACATATTATGTAAGAATGCATGGGCCTGGGACTTAGAGCCACAGCCAGGGCAATAAGGTCAGAAAGGATTAGAGAACACACACTGGGGGTATTGGTATTTGTTATGTGACTTTAATCACAATACCAGCAGATAATCATTTATACCGATGGGTATGTTTCAAGTGAAAGTTATTGAGTTGGGGAAGGTTTTCCCCTCAGTTTTTGCTAAACCCAATATGACCCAAAGATATTTAATCTACAATGGTATTAGGATCGCCTTATTCTTTTACTAACTAAGTTAGTCAGTACTACCGAGGTTTAAAGATACTGTTGTTACTATAAAAAGAAAAATCAGGAACAGTAGTACAAAAACACAACTGTATTAGGTTGGACATGAAATGTATGATCTCATACAGGTGTAATGTTTTCACAGTGAGGCACTCTTTACAAATCTATGTAGACATTCAGGTGAAGAATATTTAGCAAATAAAACAGTCGACTGGTAGGATTACATTTCTCCAACCAGCCTCGCTTTGAGAAAAACATTAAGAGGAAATGTTACTTGCCTCCAGTGGTGTAAAGTAACAAAGTAAATGTACTCAAGTACTGTAATTAAGTGCAATTTACAGATACTAGTACGTATCTTTTGCCACTTTGTACTTCTACTCCACTACAATTTAGAGGTTATAAATAAGACTTTAGTTACACCTGGAGTAAATGCACTTGCTATCCTGCAGCATACAAAATAAATTAAATTAGCTCCACGTTTACCAGTTGTGATAAATATAATCAAAACATATATATTACTAGAAAATTGATCTGCATAACAAGTACTTTTTGTGTTGGTACTTTAGGTATTTTGATGCTAATACTTGTGTACTTTTACTTGAGTCATATTTGCAATGAAGGGTTTTTGCTTCCAACAGAGTATTCATAGACTCTGGTATTTCTCCTTTTACTTTAGTGCAAGATCGGAGTACTTCTTCCACCTCTGGATATGATACTATGAGAGATTTCCATACAGAACTGCAGTCGTGTCAAGGCTCCTATACTCGTTACGTTAGCAAACACTAGAGATGTTAATCTTCGTGTGTATTAACAACATACAACTAAAATATAACAACACTGTTACGGTGTCTTATTCCTGGTCATGATGTAAGGGTCGTTTATACATGGACATCACACCAAAAGGCTACATTTTAATAGATTGATATGGAAACTAGTGACGATGCTAACGTTAGCTGTGGACCGAGGCAACTGACCGTTACCTGTCTGTGATGATGAACAGCGGTGTTTTCTGAGCCTCAGCTGGAAACTCTACGAAGGCTTTTCCTCTCTGACGGAGAACCGGCAAATATGACACTGTGACAGACTGTGTCAGACCCTCATACGTGTTTTGTAACGATGGATTGCTGCTGTTAAGCACCGGTAGCCATGTTCCTGGTTTGCATACGTTGGCAGTGCAATGCATCATGGGAGCCTGCCTTTCCTTCTGTTTTCTTCTTCTTCTTCTTCTTCGTCTTCTTCTTCGTCTTCTTCTCTGTTTTGTTTGCTGCCTCCACTGCTCCGGAGGGAGAAGGTTAGCACACTGGACCGAGATTGATGTATCATAAAGGTGATACCGAACCAAAATGCATGAAGTGACAAAAACGTTCAACATGTCTCCATTAAACCCCGTAAGTTCAGCCTCATCTTTCCCCACCACAGCAGCTGCACACCTTAATTAACCACATTATTAACCCGAAAATACACAAAAAGTACACTTCAGATGCTCAAGAGGCCCGGTTCTACGGGGGTGCATAAGGGTGCATTTTATGGGATTAGTTTTGTATCATAAAGATAAAGCAACACTTTCTCAGAATAAAGCAAAACTATGAGTTTAAAAGAAAAAAAAACTAAGTCAAAAAAAATTAAATAAATTTCAAAAATAAAACTATAAGTTGCAAACAAATCATTTGTGTAATCATGTAAACTATAAGTCTTTTATCTTTGTTTTAACATAGGTTTTTGTTTGCAGTTCTTGTTTCTTCTTTCTCAATGATCAGACTTTTGCTCTCGCTGCAGCTCTTCTCGTTTGCGCTCCCTCATTTTTTGTTTGAGATTTTGACACAAACATCCCAGGTGGGCGGGACTTTCAGGGGTGCGTCCTCATTGGCTACTCAGTTTTTGAGTGACAGCCCACTACACCACAGATCATACAGTGCAACTCATGCAGCAAACTCCGGAGTCCACTCGGCCACGTTAGTGTTGGTGTCTCCTGGGGGGTTTTCATGAACATATCGGACTTATTTTATGGATTGCAGTGCATTATACTTGTGATGTGTAGTTCATACTTTATTCCAACTTTAAATATTTTAATACCTGAACACACTGCTGCTGTTAAATAATTTCCCAATTTGGGATTGATAAAGTGTCTGTCTGTCTATTTATTTATTTTATAGATTAAAAAAACACATCTATGTATTTTTAAGCTAAAGGTGATACACAATATAAACTGTATACTATTATTGTTCAAGACATGTTACATTTCAAAAGCATATATTGCTATGTTTAGGACAAACAATTAAAGACTGCTTTAATTGAACAAATTCTGCTATTTAAAAGTGGCAGATTTGCTTTATTAAACAGACCAGACCTAGGCTGCATACCAACACAATTAGGAACATGCTCACATCTTACTATGTTGGTCTGAAGAGCTGAAGCATTCATACACAATGGATACAAACTGTGTTGTCTCATTCTATATCCTGTGAGAAAATGATATACATTTAGCATTACAAATTCTACATACTATTCCTAGCCTGAGGAAGATCTGAATAATCAACAGATTGGAATGGAATCTCTAACATTTCCATGTAGAATAAAGACAAAAGAGTGATTATACAAATTACATTTATTGAAATTTGAACCAGAAGATGAAGTCTCAAAGAATGTTTTAAATAAAAGGACATACAACAAAAAGGTGGATAATAATAAAATCTATTAAATGTATATGTAAAGCCATTTGGTCAAATGAAATGACACTGAGCCAGTGATAACAGCAACGCCAGCGTGGATGAAGCTGGTGCAGGTCTTTCTTCATGCCCCCCCTCCGTGCTGTCCCCTCAGAGGAAGTGGGGAAACGGGATAAGACTCTGGACACCACGCTGTCTCAATGATCCACACTGTTAATATGAGAGGAAAATAAATGTTTTAGGAAATGAAAAATATGAAGTTAACAAATAAAACACAGCTCATGGACGGTAGGTTTTCCTACAAAGTTAACTCAGCCTCCATTGATTTTCATATCAAATTAGCGTGTTAATAAAATAAGCTATCATGGCTTATACTTGCATATCTAAACAGAATCATGAAAACCTGTTGGTAGAGTCAGGCACACGAGTCCGTTTGAGTGTGTGCACTGTAGTGTTGCACGGTGTACCGATACTTGAAAGGTACCGCGATACCCTGCCGTTAAAAACGTTACGATTCCTCCGTTTCATTAGTATCGGTACTTTAAGAATGACGGGGAAAAGTACTCCGGTGAGAAAGCAGCGCTGTTTTAATAAGAGCCGTGTGTGTTCGGCGCTCTGCTCCGTGCCTGCAGTCCCTCCCCTCTCAAGCACGCTCTAAGTGCCTCCCCTCTCTCTTGCACGCGCTAGCTGCCAGAGCATGTGAGAAAACAAAAAGCATGGCTGCAAGTGGGAGTGCAACTGCCGCTGTGCCTCGGCTTGTTGACAAAAAAGACTCCAGAAGCAACATTTGGAAGTATTTTAGCTATATCTCTGACAGTGAGGGCAAGCCTACGGACACCACGAGGCCTATCTGTAAGAAATGTTTTAATTGTATTTAATACGAATTATTGTCATTTGTTTTATTTATTGTTCTCATTGTTTAAAAGTGTGTGTTATGGTTATGGTTCTGGTGTGAAATAAAGCACAATAATTACATTTAAGACCTTTTTTTAAGAAAAGTATCGAAAAAGAATCGGAATCGCAATTCTTGACTTGGTATCGGTATCGAAACCAAAATGTTGGTATCGTGACAACACTAGTGATGCGCCGGTGTCTGAACGCTCACTCACTGCTAGCTATGTAGCTAACTGTTAGGCTACTTAGCTTGCATTGTTATGGATCTAAAGGTAGCAAAAGCTAACTTTCATAGCACAGCTTTACTTCTCACTTATCACAATAAAGAAACAGACCGTATAGCACAAATGATCAATACTTACATATATTTTCACTTGTAGTATTATAATAATTGAAATGCTGGTTCTTCTGGGGTCTTCTGTCCACGCGCAGTCAGCTACCGCGCCGCAGATGCCTGCACTGTACAATCGCTGGAGGACTGGGCTGTCACTCAAAAACTGAGTAGCCAATGGGGACGCACCCCTGAAAGTCCCGCCCACCTGGGAGGTTTGTGTCAAAATCTCAAACAAAAAATGAGGGAGCGCAAAAGAGAAGAGCTGCAGCGAGAGCAAAAGTCTGATCATTGAGAAAGAAGAAACAAGAACTGCAAACAAAAACCTATGTTAAAACAAAGAAAAAAGACTTATAGTTTACATTATTACACAAATGATTGTTTGCAATTTATAGTTTTATTTTTGAAATTTATTTTATTTGCTTGACTCAGTTTTAAAAAAAATTTAAACTCATAGTTTTGCTTATTCTGAGAAAGTGTTGCTTTATCTTTATGATACAAAAACTATCCCATAGCATTGCACCCCTCAGTTGAGTCGTTACCCTCATTTGAAAAAATGAAAAGTGAAACAAAATGAAATTAAAAGTGAAAAAATATTACATAATGCTAACAATAATAATAACAGTAAGCAAGAAGAAGAAGAAGCAGAAGAGAAGAAGAAGAAGAAGAAGAAGAAGAAGAAGAAGAAGAAGAAGAGAAGAAGAAGAGAAGAAGAAGACGACAGAGAGAAGAAGAAGAAGAAGAAGAAGAAGAAGAGAAAGAAGAAGAAGAAGAAGAAGAGAAGACAGAAGAAGAAGAAGAAGAAGAAGAAGAAGAATATAGTTGAAATAAAATAAATTGTAATTGTGGTTAAATAACATTGTCTGCTGCATGTATTTGGTCAATTTAAACGGTAAGTAACGTTATTATGTCAGGTGCGCGTGACCTGTGTCGCTGCGCGTTCGTCATCTGCAAGGTGCTTACACAGCAGTCAATGATGGACATCAGAAAATGGTTAAAACAACCAGCCCTTATCGCCAGCAGTAACACTGCATATACTGCAGGTAATAACAGTTCAGATCATGGGGACATTACGTTACCCGCGGCCACTGTCGTGGACAATAACGTCCTCCCGCCCGACTCGCTGGCTTTGCCCGCCTCGCCCACGGAGGCGGAGCAGCCGCAGCCGCCTTCGTTGCCCGCAGATGCCAGAGGACCTCGGCAAAACAGAGCCTGCCCAGCATAGGCGGCGCGTGAGGCTCAGGTTTGGGAAGGCTAAATCACTTTTTTTTAACCTGACGCTGCCCGCCTCCGGCGTCTATAGAAAAGAGATAAACTCAGTGTGCGGAGTTTAAATGTCTCAAGTCATATTACAGGATAAAGGAAATACAGTTTAAACAGCCGTATGCAGAGAAGACGCCGACGTGTCGCACTTATCATTCATATTACATCATCAATCAGATCATCGATCATATAATATCATAATACATCATATATTTCCTTATCTAAGTCAGCTTCTCCAGCCGTATCTGGCCGTGCAACACTTACAGTGTCACATAGGCCTACTGTATGCAGAAGTATTATTTTAAGCAACACATTATGTTGACGAAACACTCGAGTCAAATGTAATTAAAGTCAGATCCGCTCGTGTCTTAGATGGGGCAGTGATATCATAAAACTATACGCTTTCAAACACTCGGTAGGCCTAGTTATTTTTTAACCAGTTCTGTGGCTTGTATCCTGGATTATATGTTTAAGTCATGGATGTTTAAAGCTCATATTTGTCTAATATTAGTTTACTTTTCATTAATGAAGTATGACGCTGCGCTGTCAGTACACTTGTCCCTGTTTGTGATTGGTCAAATGTAGCTAACCCCGCCCCCGTGGACGTGCTCTCAGCTGGTGAGAGAAACCCTGGCTTGATTTACCGAGTTGATAACCAGCGTCGTAGGACCGCTTAGCGAGATCTCGTTTGTTAGTTTGTTGTTGTTAGTTTGTTTGTTACTCAAACATATCCAGGGTATGTTGAACTGGCTTCGTAGTACAGGGCACAGGTGGCTAGCAGCGCTAATGTCAAAGACACAGACATTATACATTATATTTGTATTTTAGGATGCAGTGACACAAATATTTGGGAAGGCTTAGCCTTCCCTAGCCTACAGCACCCGCCGCCCCTGCTGCCCAGGTATATTTTTTTTTTAAAAGTACCCAACTTGCCTGTACAGCGGGGTAAGGCGGTCATTTTGCAGCTCATGGTTTCAAAACAGAGATTGGCTGGAATATTCATGTAGAAAAGATGCCATCTTCTGCTGCATGTAGTCGACATTTCGGTTCTAGTACGTCAGATGCCTTCACCACAACTGGCTACAACAACTGGCGCCA